GAGGCTGAGAAGACACCCCTAGAAGTGTATGCAAAGGTAGTGTTGAGTGACAATTATGCTTTCACGACTGAAACCATACGGTCAGTGCTCAAGAAAGAATCCATTACTGTTGCAGGCGCTGGTAGCATTCAGTGTAATGATATGCTGCTGATGTCAAAGAATGGCATGACATATTTCGCAGACATGTTCAACATCGGCGTCCAAAGTGACAAGATCACAAGATAACTGGCTAGTCAGCTACTCACTAATTCTGCTGAAAGCAAACAAAATCCATTCTAAGATCAGTGGCAACAGAATTGTCAAGATTCAGAAATATTTTGAAGCTTCCGGAAGATAATTGTAGCGTGTAGGCAGGAGTAATGAACATGGCTAAATGCAAATTTTCCCCTGTAAGGTCTACGAAGGCTTTCAGATGAGAGAAAAGACACGTGCGGCCGCTGCACACTTAGAGCAGTGGCTCTCAACCTTCCTAATGCGGCGACCCTATGATACAGTTTCTCATTTTGTGGCGACCTACAATCATACAATTATTTTCGTTGCTACTTCATAACTTCAGTTTTCCGATGGTCTTTGGCGACCCTGTGAAAAAACCGTTCAACCTTCGAAATGGTCGCGACACACAGGCGGAGAACCGCTGACTTATAGGACGCGTACAATAGAGGACAATTTGACTGCTTAGTCAACGTTCTTCTCCAAATGGAGATATTTGCTTACGCCATCCGCTTGCTAGCCGCAGTCCTGTTCTAGAGACCTGTGTACCCAGACAATGATGTTGCTTCTTACAGCCGATAACTGTTATTTCACGACTGCCTTAAGGTTCTTCGTTGTCTCCAGTTCTATTCAGTGTATGCGGTGCTGATAACTAAGCACAAACTGAATGGGAGTGACACAACTCTGTCATTTGCTGAATAAATCTTTGCATATTGAAAAATAACTCTTTATGTTTATTAAGTTATTCAGCTATACTTATTTAGAATACTGATGCATGATAGGGCAGACATGGTTACTGCCTTGTGGGAAAGCGTGTACAGTACAGAGGAGCAGATGGATCACCACAGTCTAGTGAGATTGATGCAGGCGGGAGTGACGAGAGGTTCTGGCAGATGCTCGAGGCTCAGATGAAAGGTGAGGCAGACATTTAATCAGAATGCTACTGGCACCATTAGTATCGGAACTCTTCACTGGCTGCTGAAGATGGGAACGAAGCGCTTATGGGAATGTCCCGAGTGCTGTGATATCGGTTCTTGAATCAAATCAAATCAGTTAGCTAGCTGGAAAATGGACCAGCTATCCTCATCGCATTTTGGACAAGTTTATAAGAGCTCGGATCCCATCTTAAGCATATTACTCATCGTGTAGCAACTGATAACACCAGTTCTGAGTTGGTTTACTCTTCTTTGGCTGACTGTGTAATGTTCATGTTTGGAAACACCTCTTCTGACGTGGAGTAATTTGTAGTCGTTTTAATGTTGCCTGTTCACCGTCGTCTCCTGTATCGTCTACTCGCCCTGCCTCTTTACTAACTGGGAATGTATGTATGTTAGTATGTATGTAAGTTGTACCCCTTCAGGGCATCACGCAGGCGATAAAAACCCGGTGACACAAAATGCCACCATGCGGATGAGGATCACCCATGGAGAGGTCCCGGAAACCCCGTTCAGCCGTTAGGCCATATTTATGGGCGCAACTATATTTAGCACCCCCGGCAAAAGCCAGAACTGGGCTTCAAAAGGGTTTAAAAATTGCATCCCAGAAGGGGACGTCGAGATAATCATCATTTCCCATTTACTTACAACTGGGAACTACTACTACATGTACATGTTTAGATGATAGTCTTGAGCCAGTAAGTGTTATTGATGTTTTACTATGGTTTCTTGTGTTTCTTGTGTGTGGCAAAACTGACAATCCAACAAATTGTTATTAAAAACGTCGGGTGAGAGAAAGAATTACATCAGGTATGACGAAAGATAGAAAACATATAGGGCCCTAAATTAGCATAATCTTAGTTCAAGAATATAGTAATAATAATTACAAGAACGCAGTATTCAGTGGTTACTATGTAGTAATAATATATTTGAAATATTATAAAATGTTTAAACAAACACTTGAAAAAGAATTTCTACACACTGTTAAATAGGACTGCTTAGCACACATACAAATAAAAATGTTGAATACTGAGTTAGGAATCGACATTAATAGGACTCAGGACATCCCCTAAGTGCTCCGTCCCCATCTTCAGCAGCAAGCGAAGAGTTCCAATTCTGATGGAACCAGTAACCGTCTGATTGTATATCCGTCTCATCCTTCCCCTGAGTGTTGAGTTTCGACCACCCCCTGGTAACTACTCGCAGCACCATTCTCCTCAGACAGTAATGATTTGTCTGCCCCTCCGCACTGTTCACTCGTTCCATAAGAGCCCTCGCAATATCTAGCATGTCATATACCAGTTCACCACCATGTGGTGCAGAGCCGGCCATTCGTTCTGTCAGCTCATTTCCCAACACACCGGCATCCCTGGAGACAATATCCTGACATTGTTGTGTATGTTTGGGGTGGGGGTGATGGAGGGGGCGGAGCGTCTCGGCCACTGAATGAAATGGTCATTTTCTTATCAACACGGATACAAACCACGTATTCAAATTACAAGCACATTCTCTGGGAGACAGAACTTACTCCTTCAGAACCAAGGAACTCACCATACGTTCACCGGTTACACAACTGACTGTTCAAATCTCTGTACGTGACCTTTCCGATTCTCCTGTTATGTTAGCCCCTTATTTTCCAGCTGGTAATATAACACCTTGTTGCTCGAGGATACAAAAATGTTAGCATAGACGATGTTGACATCAACACTATTTGGGACTGAAAAGGCTCGCTCCTCATTGAATTTGCATTAAATCTACCACTATCCGTTTTGTTCAGTTTGCACCGTATTCATTTATTCATTCATTCATCCATTCATTCGTTGTCCTGTTGTGACTATATATCATATAGGATCCTATACAATCACTTCGATATTACGGACGGAATCCAGTTCAGCAACTTTGGCCTCTCTCAGCAATCTTCGTTTTAAGGTGTTTTTTGAGTGTGCTGATCTCCTCAATACCTTTATTTCCAATTCCACCACCTGTTTTCTGATTTTCTGCTGAAGTATTCTCCTGTCCAATATAGAGCGATCTTTTCTTCTTTTAACTGTCGATACTGGCCAGACATGTTTCTTATTTCTTCAATCATTGTGAATTCATGCCCAACCCTCCTCCTTTCTCATACGGGATGGGGACCGGCAGTGGTGGAGATGTTTGTATTGTTGTGTTTATCTTAAACAGTCGTAGTTAGCTAAGTGCGTGGTTTTCCTGTGTGTATGTTTCAATAAGTTTCAGTATAAATGAACCCATTCGTTGCTACTGCAGCATTAGTATATAGTTTGCTTGCTTTATTTTGCTGGTGGGCTGGTGAAAGCACGTGTCCACTCTTGCCATTTGTGATCACGAAGAGAAAGGTATTTCATGAAAGCCACACACACGCACGCGCATACACGCACACACACACACGCGCACGCGCACATCAAATACAGTTGCACAGAAGACAGGAAAAGGAGAAGAGTTGCTGAATTACATGAAATTTCCCCCGTGTGGGCCCCATTATAGGGAAAACAAGAATAGACCCACTGCCTCCCCAAAAAGCATGTGTGTCGCAAGAGTCGACTAACTGGGGGCTTCCTTTGAAGTCGGAGTTCTTCTGCCTGAGGGTCAAGGAACCAGTAATCTGCATACAAAAAGGTAAGATCTGTAAAACAGATGCACACGCGAAACTCAGGTCCTGGAAAAAAGTCAAAGTCCGGAAATGGATGAACAACCAGGACTTTCCACCGGAGTTTATAGCCGGTGAACGCAAACAACAAACAACAACAACATGAAATATAAACAATGGAAGTATGGCAAGACACAACCTTCTTGTGAACACCATACTTCAGAGAACAGTCGAAGGCAAAGGAGAAGGAGACAGATATCGACACAGATGGTAGGATAGCAGCAGGAGATGAACCAAACTTTAGTTTCAGAGAGTATACACCCCATACCAGAGACGGGTCGGGGTTGAGGTCCATTGTAGCCTATACAACCCATACCAGAGACGGGTCGGGTTTAAAATCCATTGTAGCCTATACGACCCATACCAGAGACGGGTCGGGTTTAAGGTCCATTGTAGCCTATACACCCTATACCAGAGACGGTTCGGGTTTAAGGTCCATTGTAGCCTATACACCCCATACCAGAAACAGGTCGAGTTTAGGATCCATTGTAGCCTATACAACCCATACCAGAGACGGGTCGGGTTTGAGGTCCATTGTAGCCTATACAACCCATACCAGAGACGGGTCGAGTTTAGGATCCATTGTAGCCTATACAACCCATACCAGAGACGGGTCGGGTTTGAGATCCATTGTAGCCTATACAACCCATACCAGAGACGGGTCGGGTTTAAGATCCATTGTAGCCTATACACCCCTTACCAAAAACAGGTCAAGTTTAGGATCCATTGTAGCCTATAAAACCCATACCAGAGACGGGTCCGGTTTGAGGTCCATTGTAGCCTATACAACCCATACCAGAGACGGGTCGGATTTAAGATCCATTGTAGCCTATACAACCCATACCAGAGACGGTTCGGGTTTAAGATCTATTGTAGCCTATACAACCCATACCAGAGACGGGTCGGGTTTAAGATCCATTGTAGAGTATACAACCCATACCAGAGACGGGTCGGGTTTGAGGTCCATTGTAGCCTTATATAACCCATACCAGAGACGGGTCGGGTTTAAGATCCATTGTAGCCAGTCTTTATTCTGGAGACGACATCTGACTGATTCACATGTACAAGTTGCCATTTTTTTCCCTCATAATGTTTACCCCCTATTTATTTTATTCGTACGAATTCCCAAGAATGAGACCAGTCGATAGAGTCAAAGTTGATGTTAATATAAGCGGATTATTTCTAAAATATTAGAATTCGATTCCAAGGGTTAAAATGACAATGTTGCAGACACATATGAGAGCGGCTAGAACCAAGGTGAAGTTGTCAAGACAAAGGGTCACGCCATATTTTCTGTGGCTCATGTGTTTGATCAGTTTGTCGCGAGCCGCCATCATGGTAGCACTGTCGAGTGACTTCCTTGCCTCTGCGAGCTGTAAAGACGGAAAATAAACGCTTGTTGAAGGAAACTTTTGGCCTCTTCTTCTTCTTCTTCTTCTTATTATTATTATTATTATTATTATTATTATTATTATTATTATACTACTCCTACTACTACTACTACTACTACTACTACTACTACTACTACTACTACTACTACTACTACTACTACTACTACTACTACTACTACAACTACTACTACTACTACTACTACTACTACTACTACTTCTTCCTCTTCTTCTTCTTCTTCCTCTTCGATTTAAAGTTTAGGCGAGGGACCTAGGAGTCTTGCCATATATTAACGGAGGCCCCACTTAGAACCCCCGCCCCCCCCCCCCCCCCCAAAGTCAAAAAGCCCTGCATGATACAATCATATTCATTATGAGTCAACAGCCACCTGACAACACTGATTACCTCGGCTGTTTCCAGCTGAGTCAACAGCCACCTGACAACACTGATTACCTCGGCTGTTTCCAGCTGAGTCAACAGCCACCTGACAACACTGATTACCTCGGCTGTTTCCAGCTGAGTCAACAGCCACCTGACAACACTGATTACCTCGGCTGTTTCCAGCTGAGTCAACAGCCACCTGACAACACTGATTACCTCGGCTGTTTCCAGCTGAGTCAACAGCCACCTGACAACACTGATTACCTCGGCTGTTTCCAGCTGAGTCAACAGCCACCTGACAACACTGATTACCTCGGCTGTTTCCAGCTGAGTCAACAGCCACCTGACAACACTGATTACCTCGGCTGTTTCCAGCTGAGTCAACAGCCACCTGACAACACTGATTACCTCGTGTAACATCAGCATATATTCCTTTTTATGTTCCTTTTCAATCCCCCTGATCCAGATAGCGATGACGACGAAAACGAAGGTTAACTGTAAAGCTAACGAACAAAGGACCATTGCAAGTGCTGGAGCCCAGTTTTTCGTACCCTCTGCAATGAAATAAAATAAACAGGTTAATCGCGAACATAACTGGAAAATAGTAAACAGCAAAGATTTCGAATCGTAGATTTTTATCGTGGTATGGGGTGTTGCAGGTCGACCCAGGCTTAAATGGGTACCAGGATATATGTCCTGGGGAAGTAAGGACGGTCGGCGTAATGCTGACCACATTACCCACCTAGTGCCGATGGTCTGAAAAATATGGACACTCTTCCCATATACCCGATACGCCTAAAGGCGTGATAAGGGATCTCTACTTTACTAAAGATTTTGAATAGACGGTTTAAACAAGTTCTTGTTTTAAATGCTTTCGTCCTGATCGGGCGGCAGGAACACTGTATTGGGGTTTACAACTAGGCTGCTGTGCGTGCTTCGAACCCAACAATCCGATTTCAGCAAACAGATTCGCTTGAAAAAGGTCTATGCATGGGACTGTTGCCCGCATGATTTTTACGAAATTCCCACAGACTCGAAAGCATTCCGCGACTGAGAAAAGTGGTGTTAATGTGTGCTGATAAATTATTAATGTGTGATGATAAAATAATCATGTGTGTTGGTAAATTACTAAAGTGTGCTGGTGGAAAAATAATGTGTAATGAATAACTAAATAATGTGTGCTGAGGAATTAATATGGTGTGCTAAGGAGCTAATCATGTGTGCTGATAAATTTATAATGTGTGCTGATAAATTTATAATGTGTGCTGATAAATTTATAATGTGTGCTGATAAATTTATAATGTGTGCTGATAAATTAATATTGTGTGCTGATAAATTAATAATGTGTGCTGATAAATTAATAATGTGTGCTGATAAATTATTAATGTGTGTTGAAAACTAATAACGTGTAAGGATAAATTCCCTTATTTTTGTGCGGATAAATTAATAATGTGTGTTAAAAATTAATAATGTGTAAGGATAAATTCACTTATTTGTGTGCGGATAAATTAATAATGTGTGTTGAAAACTAATAATGTGTAAGGATAAATTTACTTATTTGTGTGCGGATAAATTAATAATGTGAGCTAATAAATGAATAGTGTGTCCTGATGAATAATTAATATGTTCATGGAGATTAATACTGTGTCCTGATGAATAATTAATGTGTTCTTGGAGATTAATACTGTGTCCTGATGAATAATTAATATGTTCTTGGAGATTAATACTGTGTCCTGATGAATAATTAATGTGTTCTTGGAGATTAATACTGTGTCCTGATAAATGAATAATGTGTTCTTAGAGATTAACACTGTGTCCTGAGGAATAATTAATATGTGTGACGAGCTGGTCTGGACAGCTGTTTCTGTCCTTTTAAAAAGTGCTTTGTTTAGATAATATTATTACCAAAGTTCTAAACATTTTCCTATTGCTTTTAATTAGCATAATAACACTGGATTAATTAAGAAATTTCCTTACCTTTTTCTTAATGCTTTAGTGTAGCAAAATTATAATTAAAGAGTTGAAAGGTAATATAGGCGAAGAGTAGGGCAAGGGGGACTGAAGAGTTACTTCCTCCTGACTTCCTGTGCCCTTTTCAATTCAGAAATTGACCGGTTCAGACCTAAAGTTGTTAGTCTGCCTGTGGTCCAATTTTCTGTTTGAATTCCCTGCCAGGGTTCCAGATGGTACATACAGGTGGGAGTCCAGAAGTAGATCCTAAGCTTAGCCGCAGATACCCGATTGTCCGGACTGGACTGGAAGATTCGGCCTGCCTGATGTGTCACCGAGGCTTAGCCAGAAGCTCACCTAAGCTACAGCTAAGATTTAACTAACCTACCTTGAATAACAGGATTTTATATCCACAGCCTTTTATTTAATTATCATTTGAATTTTCAAAATAAATGTAGTTTTAATGTTCTTACAGTTTTCTGAAGTTTCATTTTAACTGTAATTGTGTCAGTGAACAAAAGCTAGTATAACTTTAATACATTTAAATATTCAAATTTAATAACAGTAGGGAATAGATGTGGGCAAACCCAGAATCCTCTCATTTAACCAGCAAGGCTGGGGTTACTATAAGACCGTATGATGTTTCACTGTTTGTAGTTCCCTCTGTAAAGTGCACATAGTGCATTCGCTAGTGTAAAGCGAAGTTACCCGCCACAGATTGGGGATCTCGTCCCGGCATAGAACCCACTCACAAAGTGAGATTCTCGTCTCGGAATTTACTCACTTACATAGTGGAGATCTTGTCTTGATATTGTTCCTGGTTTACCTCTAGACAACAGCATATTTTTTTTTATATTTTGTGTTCAAGTGTTTAGCCATCTTTGATTTATTTTATGGCATATACTTAAAGAACACTGGGGGCTCAGAGTCATTAGTTACTAGTTTGCCTGTTAAAGTAAGCAAAAATTAACTTAGGTAATTATGTAACTGAAATTTACAAATAGTTTAAATGTTCACTGACAATAGGAAATCAAAATATATAATTGGCTAGGACAATTTTAAATCCCAAAAATTAATGGTTGCCCATAAGGTTAAGGATTTGTTAAAATGGATTGACAATTGCATTGCTATTTTTTTTTGATTCTGTGATTGATTATTTGATTGATGCATATGTGATTTGCTTACTAACCCTCTGTTGACCTAATTTTCTGAGTCTTGTCTAGTACTCTATAATTTCAGCAGCAATCATAAGTGATAATTTGCAAACTCCTTGTAAGGGTCACTACAGCTTAACCGAGATGGCAGCATATCATTCTCTATTGGGCAAGACCATCTCAGACTTTGCTGCTCATGAGGCAGGTTTGAGTGGGGCTGAGCTAGATATATATGTCTCTGATTTGTTGAATGCCAAATCTCAACTAGAAGCTAATGTAGGTGTCCAAGGGAGGGAAGTAGATTCTATAGATTGGTTTTTTAGAAGTATAGAAATGGGTCAGGCTTGCAAATTCACAGGTATTAAACTACTAGAGTGTGTTGCAGAGAAGGTCAAGGAAGATTGGGAGTGGCAACTGGAATGTGTCCAAATGGAACAGCAGGCACAAGCGAGAGGTTTTAAAGAGGCCGTTGAACATGCTCAGTGGAACCAGAAAGCCTTTGCTGGCGAGCCTTCCCGAGAATTATGGATGTTCACAACCAAAAAGCCAGACACTTCCATGTCAGTCAAAAATGCCTTGCCAAATACTAGTATCAGTCACTTAGGATCAGTAATTGAAGAAAGAACCCTTACCCCACCAGAATCTGGAAGTGAAAACCCTGGTAGAGAATGTGAGATCCTTGGCAGCTGTCAAGAGATCAAAACTAGTGAGCCTGCGGCTGCAGTGACCACTAGTGGGCTAGCTACCACAAAACTTGAGTTAACTCAGGGTGGTGATTTCTGTCAAGATGGTCATTCCTTGGCAGAAATAAAAAGTGTTATTCCCAAAACCAACCCCATTTTAGATAATATTATTGTATCTAGAAGCTTGCACAGCAAGGAAACTTTGAAGAAGGTAGGTGGAGAGACAGAAGACTTCAGCTCCACGCTGCAGATAGTATCTTGTAAAGCGGAGTCTGTTTATGTCCATGCTCCCACTACTTATTCTCACACGCAGTCAGTAGAAAGTCATGTGCTAGTTAAAGACATAGATTTTTCCAGTAAGTCGAGTGATATCCTAAAGTTTACTGAGAGAAGCAAAAATGCATCTCAGTCCTGCTTACAAGTTAGGGAAAAAGAGTCTCAGGCCTTAGATAAGTCCTTGAGTTCTCAAGGTATGTTGTTGTGTCCCCTCAGAATCAAGGGCCAGCACAACTTTGACTACCAAGAAAATGAGTCTCATGCTTCTGATAAGCCACTGAGATCTCATGGTATGTTGTTGTGTCCCCTCAGAATCAAGGGCCAGCACAACTTTGACTACCAAGAAAATGAGTCTCATGCTTCTGATAAGCCACTGAGATCTCAGGGTATGTTGTTGTGTCCCCTCAGAACCAAGGGCAAGCACAACTTTGACAACCCGACGACTGCAAATAAGCAGGTCATGAGAGACCAAAAGTCTCGCATCTTGGTCCAATCCAAGATGAGCCAACCAAAGCATTTGTGGACACCTCTTCTGAAAAGAGTTGTGTGTTTCACCAAGACTAGACCGATAGCTAGGCAGACTGCTAAAAAGCTAACTAGGTCTACTGAGAACCCCTTAAAGAGGAAACTCCTTAAGCTCAGGTCTTTTGCCAGTTTAGTTAGGACCATTAATGATCCCAACCCTAAATCTGGTGAGGCTTATGCCAAATCCTCTGCAACCAGCCCAGAAACTTCAGTCTGTGCCAGTGCAGCCAAGAGGAGGAAGAACCCTTCCTTTACTTCATCTTCAGATGAAACCCACAAGACCCAGTCTACGGTTGCGACTGTAGGGTCTGTACACTGTCGTAAGCAGCGCTTACCTTTTCTTCCATGTGAATCCTCCCAGATAGTTTCATGGATAAGACGCACTCAGACAGGTATTTTGAACATTGAACTGATCTTTCCTTCATGCCATCTTATCTTTGTTAAGATTGTTTCTATTCAGAGAAGCGGACAGTCCGCCTTGACTTTCTCTGGGAAAAGACTTTGGTATGTTAGTCGCAGTCGGTCATATCCGCTGGGACGGGGCTACAAATCCCAGTCAGTTGTTAAGGAGAAATTTTTTGTTCCTATTGAGATCCCATAGCAGATTAATTAGGGGATAATTTAGCAGGTGGATTGTAGGTAGCAGGAACAGTATCCAGGCCAGTTTAAGTTTGATATGTAAATATCAAACTTATCTTCGTTGGGCATATGTGACGAGCTGGTCTGGACAGCTGTTTCTGTCCTTTTAAAAAGTGCTTTGTTTAGATAATATTATTACCAAAGTTCTAAACATTTTCCTATTGCTTTTAATTAGCATAATAACACTGGATTAATTAAGAAATTTCCTTACCTTTTTCTTAATGCTTTAGTGTAGCAAAATTATAATTAAAGAGTTGAAAGGTAATATAGGCGAAGAGTAGGGCAAGGGGGACTGAAGAGTTACTTCCTCCTGACTTCCTGTGCCCTTTTCAATTCAGAAATTGACCGGTTCAGACCTAAAGTTGTTAGTCTGCCTGTGGTCCAATTTTCTGTTTGAATTCCCTGCCAGGGTTCCAGATGGTACATACAGGTGGGAGTCCAGAAGTAGATCCTAAGCTTAGCCGCAGATACCCGATTGTCCGGACTGGACTGGAAGATTCGGCCTGCCTGATGTGTCACCGAGGCTTAGCCAGAAGCTCACCTAAGCTACAGCTAAGATTTAACTAACCTACCTTGAATAACAGGATTTTATATCCACAGCCTTTTATTTAATTATCATTTGAATTTTCAAAATAAATGTAGTTTTAATGTTCTTACAGTTTTCTGAAGTTTCATTTTAACTGTAATTGTGTCAGTGAACAAAAGCTAGTATAACTTTAATACATTTAAATATTCAAATTTAATAACAGTAGGGAATAGATGTGGGCAAACCCAGAATCCTCTCATTTAACCAGCAAGGCTGGGGTTACTATAAGACCGTATGATGTTTCACTGTTTGTAGTTCCCTCTGTAAAGTGCACATAGTGCATTCGCTAGTGTAAAGCGAAGTTACCCGCCACAATATGTTCTTGGAGATTAACACTATTTCCTGGGGAATAATTAATATGTTCTTGGAGATTAAGACTGTGTCCTAAGGAATAATTAATATGTTCTTGGAGATTAATACTGTGTCCTGAGGAATAATTAATGTGTTCTTGGAGATTAATACTGTGTCCTGAGGAATAATTAATATGTTCTTGGAGATTAATGCTGTGTCCTGAGGAATAATTAATATGTTCTTGGAGATTAATACTGTGTCCTGAGGAATAATTAATGTGTTCTTGGAGATTAATACTGTGTCCTGAGGGATAATTAATGTGTTCTTGGAGATTAATACTGTGTCCCGGGAGATTAATAATGTGAACTGGGAGATTAATAATCTGTGTTGGGAAAAGACGGGCCGTCAGATTGCCTTTGTGCTTCAGTGCGAAAATCGCAGTAGAGACTCACCTGCTGGGCTTAAGTTCCTGGGTTCGAATCCGCCTTGCTGCGTTTTTTTTTAAATGTTACTGTTTCAATGTTGAGTCTGTCTAGAAATTGGCAGGAGGAAGTGTCACGGGAAATGATGGCGACGAGGTCATGTTGACTACAGTACTGTCATATTATGATGTGCCCGGGAAAAGACGGCCCTTTAGATTATATGCGTGTTTTATCATGAGTAGGGAAGTCGCTAGACCAGAGGTTATCAACCTTGTGGGTCGTGACCCTTTTGTGCTTCAAACGACCAATTCACAGAGCTCGCCAAACACCAAGGGAAAACACATATTCACCGAAGTTATAAAAGTAGCAATAACAATAATTGTACGGTTGGGGGTTGCCCAACACAGGGATACTGTACTGAAGGGTCGCCGCTTTAGGAAGGTTGAGAGCTACTGTGCTAGACGCTTTCCTGTTGAACCCAAGGTACTGGGTTGGAATTCGTATGGGGTCGATTTTAAAACTGACCTTTGCTCCATGGTCAAGTCAGTCTGGGATTTGGTAGGAGGAAGTGGGGAGTGAGTAACGGCGACGTAGTATTGACTGTAACATTCATCTAATCTCGAGTGGTTCATAACAATATGGGTGCTCGGCTCGCTAGCTCAGTTGTTCAAACCTGACTGCGGGCGACTGGGTGACGAACTCCTTGTGGTCCGGGTTCACGCCCGGGGGTAGGTAGAAAAGCCACATTTGATCCCTATTTACGGTATATTCTTTTTTTTTCCTCTTCTTTTTGTTCTTTTTCTTCTGTTTCTTCTTTTTCTTCTTCTTTTTCTACCTATTTTTCTTCCTCTTCTTCTTCTTCTTCGTCTTCTTCTTCTTCTTCTTCTTCTTCTTCTTCTTCTTCTTCTTCTTCTTCTTCTTCTTCTTCTTCTTCTTCTTCTTCTTCTAATTTGTCGCTCTTACGACATGCTTATTAATGAGGCAGTGGATCTGTTCATCTTCTTTTTCTTCTTTCTTCTTCTCCTTCCTCCTTCTCTTTTTGTTCTTGTTCATGTTCTTCTTCCTCTTCTTCGTCGTCTTATCCGTCGTCTTCTTGTTCTTCTTCCTCTTCTTCTTCTATTTCTTCTTTTTTCTTCTTCTTCTTACTCTTCTTCTTCCACTTCTTCTTCCTCTTCTACTTCCTCTTTTTCTTCTTCTTTTGCTGCTGCTGCTCTTTCTGCTGCTCTTGCTGCTGTTGCTTCTGCGATGTCTCCTTCTACTGTCCCTCCCCAGTGAAGCATAAGCCCTCTAGCAACTCAGGCCAAGTCGTTATCTCCTTTGCTATCGCATGCAGCTCATCCCATGGCAACAAAGTTTTTAACTTCACTGTCTAGCTCTCTTTTCCGTGTGTGTTTGTTTATCTGCCTTGATGTATATGCCCCTCCTGATTCTAGTGCAAAGACATTCTAGTAATATTATTCGGAAGTCTTATCAGTGTTTGTTCTATCCAACGCCATCGTCTTTTCTTCACCTCTTGATTCACTGGAATTTGCTTAGTTCTTTACTAAAGCTCTTCATTAAGGATTCAATCATACTGTTTAATTACCCATATTCTGAGTAAGCTCCAGTTAATGAGTGTTTGTATTTTATTAGTAATTGTTCTCCGTGTTTCAACTCCATACATCAATATTGATTTGACATTCCAGATATCTTCAAATTGGTATTACTTATAATTTTCGTTATCTTCAGTAACCTTCCTAGAGCTACGAAAATTAATTTTGCTTTTTTGTATTTGTATTTTAATATCTCTGTCAGTTTTCCTGTATTTATCTACATTACTGCCTAAATAGGTGTGGGACTAAATGGCTCATTATCTTTGTCTTCTCTCCAACGTGCTGGTATTTCTTTGGTGTCCCAAACTTGAATAATTTGATTATCAAATATGTAGCTGTGTGCATCCTGAGACCAATAACTTATGCAGGATTATCATATGGACCTGCGGATTTCTTTTTTTCTCCAAGGGATTGATAGCTTTACTTATTTTCTATTATTTATTTTATTTTAGACGGTGTCTAACAACTAATATCGAGATGCATTTTTACAGGCTCAATAAAGTTCGGCCAGACCAGACTGCATATGAGACTTTTTACAGTAGAACCTCTGGGAGGAAGGCGAGAGGAAGACCAATAAAGATATAAATGAATGGCGTAGCAGAAACCTGCAAAATGATGAACAAATCCATCACTCAAGCCACCCAAGAAGAGCAAGACAAATACAGAAAACCTCGACACTGGGCTATAAGCTGGTATCAGTGAGACAACAAAAGACGAAGAAGTAGAATAAAGTGCTTCTTGTTAGCTCCGTCAAACAGTGACTAAGATGTCAGCTGAGACAAACTGTAAACCCTAATGTCAGTCAAAGCACCATTCTCAACTTTCAGCTCTTCTTACCCAACGTAGTCAACGTTCTCAACTGGGTAAAGTTGGCCACCAGCAGGGACGCGTCTAAAATAGATTCTGCAGCTGTTCTTCTTTGCGCATAGCGGTTGTCAGACATCAGGGGAGCTAACTGCACGAGGGATAAGACGTCGTTGGTTATCTTAGTTTCTGCTGCTGCTTTTTCTTTTCTTTTCTTCTTCTTCTTCTTTTTCTTTCTCTTCTTCTTCTTCTTCTTCTTCTTCTTCTTCTTCTTCTTCTTCTTCTTCATCTTCTTCTTCTTCTTTTTTCTTCTTCTTCTTTCTTCTTCAACTTCCTCCTCCTCTTCTTCTTCCTCTGCTTCTTCTTCCTTTTTTACTTCATTCTCCTTTTCTTCTTCCTCTTGCTTCTTCTTCTTGAAGAACACCCCCCCCCCCTCCCCCCGTTGCACCCCTAAATTGTTTAGTAGATCCCAGTCATTTAACCAGGTATAGAAATTCTCTTTTTCAGACACAAATTCTAATGAGGATCACGTTCATAATAACAGTAATCTTTTTCTTCGCGTTCTACTTTTTCTTCGTCTTTGTCTTCTTCTTGTGTCCTACTGGTTATACCGTGAAGCGTCACAGAGAGGAGCTAGCTGTAGTTTTCAGTCTTTTAAAATCGCGTAGCTTGTTTTAATGTTATATTGCCTTTCTGTATTTTTTTTTTTTACACCTCCGCCTGTCTCTTTCTTCGCCTTCTTCTTGTGCCCTACTGCTTATATCGTGAACAGAGAGGAGTTATATGTAGTTTCTCGTCTTTTTACATCTTGTAGCTTGTTTTAATGTTATATTGCCTTCCTGCAGTTTTTTCTTTCTTTCTATCTTTGTCAGCTTCTCGACATATAGCCTGTTGTTCTTATATAGTATGCTCTAGCTGTTGGCTGATTTTGTTCCAGTCTGAACAGATGACCAAATCATTTGATTTTTTGATGTTCTATGAAAACATATACCGGTACTGCATCCACCTTTTGTTCTCAATTCATCGTTGATTACTCTGTTCCTTCTTATTGTGCTTTAAAGTTGTTGTGTTTTCTTCTAGGACTATCCACGTCTGATACTGTTATAACAAAGTTGGTACTAATAGCTTTCAGTCTCCGATCCACATCTGGACTTTAGTCTTGTTGGGTAAGTTAAGTTTTGTACGTCGACTGTTAGTTCCGATCCACATCTGGACTTTAGTCTTGTTGGGTAAGTTAAGTTTTGTATGCACATTAATTTTCAGATCAGACTTTGTTTTGTACGCCGACTGTTAGTTCCGATCCACATCTGGACTTTAGTCTTGTTGGGTAAGTTAAGTTTTGTTTGCACATTAATTTTCAGATCAGACTTTGTTTTGTACGCCGACTGTTAGTTCCGATCCACATCTGGACTTTAGTCTTGTTGGGTAAGTTAAGTTTTGTATGCACATTAATTTTCAGATCAGACTTTGTTTTGTACGCCGACTGTTAGTTCCGATCCACATCTGGACTTTAGTCTTGTTGGGTAAGTTAAGTTTTGTATGCACATTAATTTTCAGATCAGACTTTGTTTTGTACGCCGACTGTTAGTTCCGATCCACATCTGGACTTTAGTCTTGTTGGGTAAGTTAAGTTTTGTATGCACATTAATTTTCAGATCAGACTTTGTTTTGTACGCCGACTGTTAGTTCCGATCCACATCTAGACTTTAGTCTTGTTGGGTAAGTTAAGTTTTGTATGCACATTAATTTTCAGATCAGACTTTGTTTTGTACGCCGACTGTTAGTTCCGATCCACATCTGGACTTTAGTCTTGTTGGGTGAGTTAAGTTTTGTATGCACATTAATTTTCAGACCAGACTTTGTTTTGTACGCCGACTGTTAGTTCCTATCCACATCTGGACTTTAATCTTGTTGGGTAAGTTAAGTTTTGTATGCACATTAATTTTCAGATCAGACTTTGTTTTGTACGCCGACTGTTAGTTCCGATCCACATCTGGATTTTAGTCTTCTTGGGTAAGTTAAGTTTTGTATGCACATTAATTTTCAGATCAGACTTTGTTTTGTACGCCGACTGTTAGTTCCGATCCACATATGGATTTTAGTCTTGTTGGGTAAGTTTAAGTTTTGTATGCACATTAATTTTCAGATCAGACTTTGTTTTGTACGCCGACTGTTAGTTCCGATCCACATCTGGACTTTAATCTTGTTGGGTAAGTTAAGTTTTGTATGCACATTAATTTTCAGATCAGACTTTGTTTTGTACGCCGACTGTTAGTTCCGATCCACATCTGGACTTTAATCTTGTTGTGTAAGTTAAGTTTTGTATGCACATTAATTTTCAGATCAGACTTTGTTTTGTACGCCGACTGTTAGTTCCGATCCACATCTGGACTTTAATCTTGTTGGGTAAGTTAAGTTTTGTATGCACATTAATTTTCAGATCAGAATTTGTTTAGTACGCCGGCTGTTAGTTCCGATCCACATCTGGACTTTAGTCTTGTTGGGTAAGTTAAGTTTTGTATGCACATTAATTTTCAGATCAGACTTTGCTTTGTACGCCGACTGTTAGTTCCTTGACTCTCAGGTGTGTGCACCACTACCTAATTCGTCGCTCTTACGACATGCTTATTACTGAGGCAGTGGATCTGTTCTTCTTCAAACCTCACAGTGGGGCCGGAACCCACTAGGGGAATAATAATAATAATAATAATAATAATAATAATAATAACAGCAACAACAACAATGGTGTGGTGAATGGCGAATAATTATAAACAAAGTATATACTTTCAATAATATGCATCATCATCATGTGTCCTGCTAGTTGGCGTAGGCGCTCATGCGTCTCCACAGATCACAATCCCAGGTTGTCTGGAACAGCTCTCTTGATGATATCCCTTCATGCCATCATTTCAGCTCATCCAGCATAATCTCTCTTGGTCTGCCTCTACCCCTCTTTCCATTGATCTTTCCAATTGTCACGATGTTTTCCTAATGCCTCTCTTCTCATGACGTGGCCAAGGAACAGTGTTTGTCCCCTTTCTTATTGTTGTACATAGGGATATATCTTCTTTCATTAGCTTCTTTCAAACAATCGTTAGTTATTCTGGCCGTCCAAGGTATTCGTAACGGTATTCCTTGTTCGCAAGGATCAAAGAGATTCAGGGCTGTTGTAATGGTGTGAATTCCCGTGGAAATCCCAGGGAGTTCCTGATGGGGAGGACAAGGTTAGAGGACCAGTGATACAAGAGGAAAACAAGATAAGTGGGTCTCATGTATCCCGTGGTGTGCGAATAAGGAATACAAGAAAAGCGTGATACTGGAACGGAAGACGTGAACCGAGAGACGATAGTAAGACAGTTGAAGTTCAGACCTGGGTGAGTGCGGTCGTATGTGAGAAAATACCTGAAGAGAATAGAGAACTTGTGACCACGTATAAATTATTTCAAAGAAGACATGAATGTTTCCTGATTGCCAGTTTCAACACGTAGATGTCTGATCTCTCGCGAGTGCAGTACACTAGCTATTCTGTCTTGAGAGATTGGTCTAGTCTTATGAATACGTGTAAGGGGCACACTTGGATGATAAGTCCCTTGATCAAGCAAAACCCTTTTATAGTAAAGACCGGTGTGCGTGACCGAAAAGGCACAAAACACAACGGATCTAGAGGAGACAACCTCGATTTAGTTAAAAAATAAGCCGCGGTGGACCTACGTGCATATTGACCAAATGGCTGTGGGTTATACGGTCGTGAATGGGAAACGTCTAGTTAGCAGGTAGTGGGCGCCAGGCATATGGACTCCGTCAAGACATCCATTGCCTCTTTCCTAGCAAGCAGGCAATATACTATGGTGACTGTTTACTTTCTGCATTGAAAACATATTTGGCATATCAGAATACCGGTCCTAAATTATTCTTTTTTTTTTAACATCCCATTCAGGGCCTCAAAAAGTTATATAGTTAAAAATTTGGAATAGAAACACTACGAACTATGCTTCGCGTTATTATTTAATTTCATGGGAATGAAACGCTCGAGTCTCGAGTCTTCGGTAGTACAGTTGTAAGTATTCCTCCTGTCACACGGGTGGCCGGTGTTCGATTCCCTGCTAAGTAATAATTTTATTTTTGTAGCCCTTAAAAGAGCGCTTAGAACGTTGCTTTGTGGTTTACAGCTAGGCTGTGATATCGGCGTCTTTCGCCCTAACACATTCGATTTCTGCAAAGTCCTAATTAGTCGTCTTTTACAACATACTATTAGGTGGCTGTGGCTCTATTATTATTTTTTTTCCAACATGTGGCCCTGGAACCCACAAGGCGACTCACGGGTAATGTAACAATAAATCAAACACTTTTCCTCCCTACGGCATTTTGAGGGATCCAAACTACTTCTTCCCACATCGCTTAAAAAATAGATCAAATTATATCCCCATCCCCCCTCCCACGACGCTTCAATGGATCGAAAACTATTCCCCCTCCCTCCTCCCCCCCCCCCCCCCCCTACGGCTCTTACCTTGACGTCTTAACATTGCTATCAATCAAGCAATAACGGCAGAAGTTGAAACTGGTGATGATGGCCTGAATGTTTTTACTACATAACCTATTGAGGATCTCAAAGGGATGCTTTTCGTAGTGAATAATTTGGGACCGGTGTTCGGAAAAGTACCGAATATTTTATATGAATTTTGTACTCAGTAATAAAAAGAATCATCGCCGGAGCTACGGAGAGCTACGTGCTCTGTGCTTGATATCATCTTCAGGTGGCAACGGAGAATTTGGAATACAATCCGATATTTACTGGTGCTTTTAGAATCGGAACTCTTCGCTTGCTGATGAAAATGGAGACGGAGCTCTTATGGGGGTGTCCTGAGTGATGTGATGTCGTGTCCTAATTCAACATTTAACAATTCAATGATGATGATGATGATGATGAATCGAGTATACTAGCATTACCGCCTCTTCAGCAAACACGTCATAGCCTTCTGGAATCTTGCTGGTGTCATCCTCGGCGATTGCCGTTTCATCCTCAGAGGCAGCAGTCGTGTCTTGTTCCATTTTGGACTTCTTCCGGTCCTCAGCTTCTTGTTTTCTGTAGGGAAAAGAGGGATTTGGATTTTAAGATTATTAATTAGTCTTTCCGCCCGTGTGTCACCGGGGCCCTCACGGGAAGCAAAGAATAGTGACACTGCACCCTACCAGGCATGTCGTAAGAGGCGACTAAGGGTAGGGTTGGGCTTGAGGTTGGCTACCTCATCCTGTAAAAACCATAGCCACATAAACCAACCATTCATGGATAAGTCAAAAAGAGAAGCAAGTAAAATCCAGCCAACCAAGATGAGGGGAGGCTCTTCAAATAGAAGAAGTATGACACGGTGTGGAGAAAGCCGTAAGGAGTCCAGATCGTTGACTTACCTCCTCTCAGCTAGGAAAACCTCCAGAATTGGCACCTGGAATGTTAGAACTCTCTATGATATAGGGAGAACAATGGAAGTAGCAAAGGAAATGAAACATTATATTGTCTTTGCATTGGAACCCATAGGGGCATAGGAATAAAGGAAGGCCAAAAAATACACAGGGAAGAGAGCTGGAGAATGAGGTTAGAAAGATTGGGAGGACATGGGGAGAGCACCATGCAATAGCGAAGGATAGAACGACTTGGCCTGAGTTGGTTGAGGGCCCATGCTTCATTGAGGGATAGAAAGGCAGAAGAAGAATTAGTCTTTGAATGAATATTTCCGTGTCCTGTTATCAGTGTGAAAGTTTTGCATTAATCAGTGCAGCAAGGGTGTCGCCGTGGTGTAGCGGCTGGACGCTCGCCTGTGGATCCAAAGGTCGTGGGTTCGGGTCCTGGGGGAGCCGGACTTTTTATTTTTTTCAAAAATACATTGGCTCCTAGGTCGACCCAGTCTGGAATAGGTATCAAGTGCAGTCCTGGGAAGTAAAGGCAGCCGGCGGGGTGATGCTGACCACATCACCCACCAAGTGCCGATTGGTCTATAAATGGTCTCTCTTGCCCTATATGCCCAGTTCAGACGTGCCCACAGCCGGATTTAGACTCAGTGAGGTCCTAGGCCATGACTATTAAACTAAGTTTAATCAGGAGCAAACATTTTGAAAGCGGGGATCGCCACAGGTCATGGACCACAAGCCCCAGCATAGAAAGATCATTAATACAAAACAATCATTCACGGGCCACTTGCTAGGTCTCCGCGGGTCTGATTTAGCAATCGGAGCGACAGTTGAACAGCCCTGACCTAGTTAATAAGTTGCGTATCCTTTACAGGACGTTACACTACCAACACCAGCATATTATTTATTTTTTTGACTGTTGTGGTTTTTCAATGGTAATTTACGTCCAGTAGTTTGTCATTGATTTCTGGACGATCGGCTTCTCGATACCACTGTCGAAACCAACACCGGGCGCATGGCCAGCAGCTGGGATCGAACCTAGCATCCCGGCATTACGAAGCGTTCGCATCGACTTAGCCACAGAGCCGACTAGACACAAGGACAAGCTCCCAAAAATATCCGGAAGAGACAGTTGGCGGTCACTGGGTCAAGGGCGGGGAGAGGAAAACTTGTTTTTGTGACACGAGTAAGAACATCTTCAGGCGTTTTTGGGCACACATGGCCAGACTTATATTTTATAGACTCATCGGCGCTTTGTAGGGGATGTGGTCAGCTCTTGCCATGACTTGTACCTGGTTGCTACTCAAGGCTGGGTCGACCTGGGAGCTACTCAAGGCTGGGTCGACCTGGGAGCTACTCAAGGTTGGGTCGACCTGGGAGCCACTCAAGGCTGGGTTGACCTGGGAGCCACTCAAGGCTGGGTCGACCTGGGAGCCACTCAAGGCTGGGTCCACCTGGTTCCCACTCAAGGCTGGGTCCACCTGGTTCCCACTCAAGGCTAGGTTCACCTGGTTCCCACTCAAGGCTGGGTCCACCTGGCTCCCACTCAAGGCTGGGTTCACCTGGTTCCCACTCCAGGCTGGGTCCACCTGGTTCCCACTCCAGGCTGGGTCCACCTGGTTCCCACTCCAGGCTGGGTCCACCTGGTTCCCACTCCAGGCTGTGTCCACCTGGTTCCCACTCCAGGCTGTGTCCACCTGGTTCCCACTCAAGGCTGGGTTCACCTGGTTCCCACTCAAGGCCGGGTTCACCTGGGAGCCAAAGTCATTCACCCAAAAAAGTCTGGCTCCGTGAGGACGCGAAACCACGACCTTTCAATCCGTTGGCGAGCGTCTTGCCACTACACCACGGCGGCTCTCTGATATTTATGAAGAAATCAAATAGAAACATGAGTTCACATTTACCAGCAAATCAAACACGACAGCCGTATGCCCTTGCTCAGCTTACCTTGGTTCTGAAGATGTTGTACTGACCATTTTATCACAATGTTGTATTCAGTGACCAACAATATTAATTTTACCTATTTAAAATAAAATAAAAACATGAGTGTCTCGAAAAACTTCAAAATTGGTCTCAAAATTACTTTCCCTGTCTGCTATGTGTAAAATTTTGCTGAATGCTATGTAAAAGAGAAGAATAATATAACTAGTTTTAGTTGATATGTAAGATGTTATTAACCGAATGTGGTAATTTTTTGTTTTATAAACTAAAATAATAAACCACATTCGGCTGCGTCCTGATCAGACAGGATATGCATGTGTTCAAGAAAATTGCGGTTCTGTGTACATCAGAAACGGCACATATGCGTACGGAAATTTCACAATATCATTGTTATTATGCATTTTATAAAACAAAGAACATTTTGTGCAATATATTCTTGTTAGAGAGGGTTAGAAAAAGAATTCTTGCTTGCTACATACATCGAGTTTTAACATATGGCTGTGAATCCTGGACAATCGGTAGGCAGGCCAAATAAATCCTTGAGGCCTCAGAGATGTGGTTTTACAGAAGAATGTTTAGAATACCTTGGACAGCCAAAAAGAGCAACCAAGAGGTTTCGAAAGAGGCGGGAGCCCGAAGACAGTTTATCACAGACATCAGAAGGAGGCGGTCATCATTTTTAGGCCATGTTATGAGAAGAGGGAAAATAGAATATGCTGTGACCACTGGAGAGATCTGTGAAAGTAGGGACAGAGGAAGACAATAAGAGAAGATGCTTGACAGTATTGTTGCATGGCATGGAGGTGTGTCGCCACACGAACTGATACATGCTGCAGGAGATCTCAGATTATGGAGAGGCATAATCGCCCACGCCAGTCGACAAGGCACCAGATTATAATGATTATGCACCGTGCTGATAGTGTAGGCTATCGTGTTTTGCTGTTTCAAACGATCATCAGTGTCGCAGATCGGGTTAGTGTTTTGCTCTCGCCTCATCCATATGGTCAGACCATCCAAGATCTATACTGAAAAGAGGAAGGTCTTTGATGGCGCAAGCAGAAGTCACAATCAGACATGTGCAGGCTTGATAAATGTGTGGAAGGAGAGGAGTGGGTCGAAGTGTCCGAGCAAGTTTCAGACTTGTACAGGGTTCTTATCACTTTCGGTCCTGGGTGCAGGGACTGGCCAGCTGGCGCTGCAGAATCAGAAACTTAACAAATGATTCATGACAATTCCCGCCCAAGTGAAGGGATTGTCTATACAGATGGCTCTGTGTTAAGATGCAGACGAGGTGCATGTGGGTTTATAGCAAAGGCGAATGCAAGTGATGGGAATATCTATGCAGTTGGCTGAAGCCAGGGGTGCAGACGAGGTGCATGGGGCTTTATAGCAAAGGCGAATGGATGTCGTTCAGTGCAACGAAGCATAGCATTTGATATCACAACGTCAAGATTGAGAATACAGATGGAGGCAGTCATGCTGCCTTCTGTTGGCTTGAGAATCAGCTGTACACACATGCCGTCATTGTCACTGACTTGAAGAGGTTGTTGAAAAAGATGGAGACAGGTATGCTCCTTGCAGAGTGGCAAGCATCTTTAAAAGGTCCGGGTAGTTAGTATGCTTTGGATATTCTCTCCAGACTATGACAGTGTTTTGTGAAATGAGCAGGCAGACAGACTTGGACTGAACTGATGTGTGACAAGTTCCACAATGTAAGGGCCCTCTGGAATCGAGTGAACAGTGCGGAAACTCAAAAAGATCATTACGGTCTGAGGAGAATGGTGCCTCAGGAGTTATGGTGATCCATCTGCTCCTCCGCATTGTACACGCTCTCCCACAAGGCACAAACCACGTCTGCCCTATCATGCAGGAGTATTCCACCAAGTTGTGCAGAGCCAGCCAGTCTGTCCGCCTGTTCATTTCCCAACACACCGGCGTGACCCGGTGAAAAAATCCAGACACTACTGCTCACTCGTGTCCTCCACAGCGAAGCATGCCACTCTGCACGAAGCATACCGTGATCTTCCACAGCATGCTTTCTGAATCAGTTACAATTACAATGTGTGTGTGTGTCGTGTTCTCTAGCCAGCGGAAAGCTGTAGTGACCGCCTCCACCTCCATTCTTAAGCTGGATGCTTAGGTATCATATGCTAGGCTCTCCTGCACCAAACGTCGACCATTAACTTTTGCTAAAAAGCCCCAAGCACTTCTTTTGCCTCTTGACACTGCACCGTCTGTGTAAATGATCAAATCCTCTGAGCGAGCATTATCTTGAATTATTTGCTGAATTCCCACCTCTGTGGCACCTGCTGGCCAGTCTCTGCATTGCAGGCTCAGCGTGATTATGACTCTACACAAGTCTGACTGCTCAGGTGGCACTTTGACCCACTCCTCTCCTCGCCTAATGTTCTCAAGGATGCAAACCTGTCTGATTGTGTCTTTTGCCTGAGCCATCCATGACCTCCCTCTTATGAGCCGCTGACCATTAACTGCACCCAGAGCTTCATGCAGAGGGTGGTCTGTGTCTGCAGCTACCCTGAGATATGACTTCGCCTGCATCACCTTGTGCCTACCTGCAACCGTCGGCAAACCAAGGATGAATCGCATACACACCACTGGGGTGTCTCTGGTGCAACCCAGAATGACCCGCATAGCCGCGTTCTGTATGCGCTCTAGTTTGTCCATCTGACTCTTTGAGACGGTAAGCAGTCCCAGGCCACAATCCACCACTGACAGGATCAGGTGCTGATATAGTGTGAAAAGCATTCTCTGCTCTATGTAAATTGCAGCCATAGTCTTAAGTGCACTAAGTCCTTTTTAGCATCTGGTCACAACACTCTCCACATGGTCCTTAAATGACAGGCTCCTGTCAAATGTAATTCCCAGATACTTCAGTTTGCTCTTTCTGTTGACGTCTCTACCATCTATCTTGAGACTTGGGACATTAGTTTTGATGATTTTGTTGTCCAGAGAACACCATAAAACAGACGCCTTTTCCGGGTGGACGACAGCCTTTATTTCTGGACACCACTCAGTCACTTTGTCTACTGTCGCTTGTAGCTCCCGAGCTGTTTGTTCCCTCTCTTCCCCCCCCCCCCCCCCCCCCCCCGCTGTATATCATCAGCAAAAGTCAGTATCCTTCCCACTCCTGGTGCCTCTAGGCTTGCAATCTTGCTCGTATACACGTTGAAGAGCACAGGCGAGATGGCGGATCCCTGTGGCAGTCCTGGGGCCAAAGTGCATGGTTCAGAGGTCTATGAGCCCAGTCGGAGAGCAACCCAACGTGAATACAGGACAGCTGCAACCCAATTCACCAGCCATGGATTGACCTCCTTCTCCCTCAGTGCAGTCATTAGGATGTCGTATCTCACTCTGTTATAAGCATCCTCGAGATCTAGCCCTACCGCCATAGTTTCCTGTCTGTTCTGGAACCCTTCATAGACGTCAAAAGCAAAAGTGGCCGCATTTGCCCAAGTGTCCTTTCCTGGCCTGTAACTTCCCAGACCTCTTGGGAGAAGCTTCACCCTTTCCAAAAATTCTTGTAACTTTACAGCAACTATCTTCTCCAAGACCTTCCCAGATGTGTTTTGTAAGGTGATGATTCTAAAGCCACTAAGCTTAGAATGATCTTTAAAAGGTTTTGTTAGTGGAATTAAATAGCTGTGCACCCGGTCTTGCGGTACTGATGCTGTCTTAATACTCTGGTTAAAACAGTCGGCCATCTCTGCCAGGTCTACCTGACACCATCAGGCCCTGGTGCAGTGTCTTGTCCTTTTTTCAAAATTTGTTTGAAATCTTCCACTTGTATCATGTCTTCATAATGCATATTCTTCAAGGTGCCAGCTAACTCCTTTCTAACTGCTTCCCTGATGTCTCCATCATTATGATCTGTCTGAGCTATAAACCTATGGAGAAAAGCCTCCCCTTTCTCCTTGTCTGTTGTCACGCGCACACCATCGTCTCTACAAATTGTTCCGACTGTCATAGGCCGATCTTTTATTTGCATCTGCCTTTGCAGTTTCCAGAATTTCCCTAATGTTTTATCGCCTCCCATGTCATTCACAAAAGTTTCCCACTTTGCTCTTTTGGCCTCTGCAGCACAGCGCTTGAAAACCTCCACCTTATTTTTTTTTTCACATTCTCCGCCATCTCCACTTCCTCTCGTGAGCTTGAGGGTGTCTGTCGTACTTTCTTTAGCTGCTTCACTGCGGCTTTCTTTGCCTTCCATGCCTGTTCTACTTCTGGAGTCCACCATGGGGGCTGTAGAAAATTGGTTCTGGCAGTTCTTTTGCATGCTCCCTGTCTCAGGCGTCCAAGTAGGTTGTTGGTCCACTTATACTGGAAGGTCTTGCGTGCTCTCCCAACCTTAACCTTACTGAGTTTAGAAATCAAGACTGAATATGGTAGGTGATCACTCCCATGGTCATTCAGGACAGTCCATTTAACATCTAAAACCGACGACTGAGAGACAAATGTCAAGTCAATGGCTGAACGGTTTACGGTTAACGGTTTACATCGAGACCCGCGTCGTTTCTTCTTCTTCTGCTTTGTCATCTTCTTCTTCTTCTTCTTCTTCTTCTTCTTCTTCTTCTTCTTCTTCTTCTTCTTCTTCTTCTTCTTCTTCTTCTTCTTCTTCTTCTTCTTCTTCTTTTTCTTCTTCTTCTTCTTCTTCTTTTTCTTCTTCTTCTTCCTCTTCCTCTTCTTTTTCTTCTTCATCTTCTTCTTCTCCTTCTTCTTCTTCTTCTTCTTATTCTTCTTCTTCTCATTATTATTATTATCATCATCATCATTATCCTTCTTCTTCTTCCTTTTCTTCTTCTTCTTCTTCTTCTTCTTCTTCTTCTTCTTCTTCTTCTTCTTCTTCTTCTTCTTCTTCTTCTTCTTCTTCTTTTTCTTCTTTTTCTTCTTCTTCTTTTTCTTCTTCTTCTTCTTCTTTTTCTTCTTCTTCTTCTTCTTTTTCTTCTTCTTCTTCTTCCTCTTCTTCTTCTTCTTCTTCTTCTTCTTCTTCGTCGTCTTCTTCTTCGTCTTATTATTA